TTCAGGGTTTGATCTGTGAGTTAGTCGTGCCCTGACTTAGATCAGCCCAGAGGTTGTTTCAGGGTTTGATCTGTGAGTTAGCCGTGACCTGACATAGATCAGCCCAGAGGCTCCGGGCTTCAGGGTATCGATGAAATCTGAAGGTTTTTATTTTATCTTAAGGTTATTCTATTCCATTGAAAGTGGACTAGTACATATATTATACAAGTTGTTTAGGACTTTGTGTATCACTTGAATGGCTTAACATAATTAATGTATTTTACGTTTAGCTTCTCCCAAGATACTTCGCGAGCTTTGTGACAGACACTTGGAGTACACCACGTGGTCACACATTAGGGTGTGTGTTGGCACGTGGAATGTAAATGGTGGACGTCACTTCCGGTCCATAGCCCATAAACACCAAACCATGCATGGCTGGTTACTAGACTTCCATGAGAGTTTACCGGACAGTGGGTATTCAGAAGTAGATAAGGTGGACTTTAAACAGCCTACTGATGTATATGCTATTGGGTTTGAAGAACTGGTTGATTTAAATGCTTCAAATATTGTCTCCACAAGGTAAGTTTTAGTTTTAAGCTATTAGCCTAAAGACATAAATTTCAGTCCAATGTGTGAGTTAGTCGTGCCCTGGATTTGATCAGCAAAGAGGTTGTTTAAGGGTTCTATCTGTGGGTTAACCGTGTTCTGACTTAGATCAGCCCAGAGGTTGTTTCAGGGCTCGATCTGTGAGTTAGCCGTGCCCTGACTTAGATCAGCCCAGAGGTTGTTTCAGGGCTCGATCTGTGAGTTAGCCGTGCCCTGCCTTTGATCAGCCCAGAGATTGTTTCAGGGTTTGATCTGTGAGTTAGCCATGCCCTGACTTAGATCAACCCAGAGGTTGTTTCAGGGTTCAATCTGTGAGTTAGCCGTGCCCTGGCTTAGATCAGCCCAGAGGTTGTTTCAGGGCTCGATCTGTGACATAGCCGTGCCCTGACTTAGATCAGCACAGAGGTTGTTTAAGGGTTAAATAAACTAAGTGCTAGTAATTCTTTCAACGTTTCGTGAAAGTCCCTCTCTTTTGTCTCCAGCTCAACTCAGAGAAAAGAATGGGGCGAGGAGTTACGGCGAGTAATATCACGTGACTTTCCTTACGTCCTGGTCACGTGTGAGCAACTGGTTGGTGTTTGTTTATACCTGTTTGTTCGTCCTCATCTCGTGCCCTACATTAGGTAAGCCTGTGAATTAAGCTCAGAAAGAAACGTGGGACAAACCTTTTATACATGATTTCTAGGAGACAGCAGTATTTATGTATACAGGCTTTGAACCTCACGTGATAGCAACCATGACAAAAGGCACAACAATAGAGTCCTTTTCCCCTGGGAAACGTTTTTTCTTGTAAACCAGCTCAGACCAGATTTTATTTAATCAAAAAGTATTTAAAGTCCATGTACGTAAAGGTACATAGGGATCATGAGAAGGTACATGGAAAACTACTGGACGATATATTTGAGACGGTAGTCTCAGTATTATCGAATTTTCATGTCGTAACTGTTGTCTCGATCAGCGCGTAGCAATGAAAACAGTGATTTTCAATGTCTGTTTGTTGTTGTTTTGGTTTAGGGATGTTGCGGTACATGCTGTCAAGACAGGAATGGGTGGTAGTGCTGGTAACAAGGGTGGTGTAGCAATACGCATGCTCCTTCATGCCACCTCTCTCTGCTTCGTCTGTTCTCATCTGGCGGCTGGACAGTCAGGCGTACAGGACAGGAATAACGATTACCAGGACATCGCATCAAGAATAGCATTCCCGATGGTAAAACATTATCGTGCTATTAGTATTAGGAATCTACCATCATGTATCTTCCTGTACGCTGATCTACCAATCAGATCCTGCATTCATGTCACGTGTTTTTGTCCAGGATCGTACGATCAAATGGAACGAATCCACTTGGGTGTAATGTTTTGCCCATTTCAGAACACGTGTCACTCTGTTAAGAATAAGATTCTTTGTTTAAGTTGTAACCATATTCATGTGTCTTCTCATGCTCAACCGTTAAAGAAAGAAATAATACCAATCAGATCGCATAATCACATGTCACGTTGATCTATATTCATGTCAAGTACTGTTTATCTAGAGTCGTACCATCGGGGTCACATGACTAGGTCGATCAACCAATCAGATGCTGTATTCATGTCACGTGTTGTTTCTCTAGGGTCGTACCATCAGGTCACATGAATACGTCTTCTGGTGTTGGGATTTTAACTATCGTATTGACCAACCAATCAGATCCCATATTCATGTCACGTGTTGTTTGTCTAGGGTCGTACCATCAGGTCACATGACTACGTCTTCTGGTGCGGAGATTTTAACTATCGTATTGATCAACCAATTGATGACGTCAAGTCTTTCATCAAGCAGAAGAACTGGGATGCGCTGATTGAAGGAGATCAACTGATAAAACAGAGAAATGACCATAAGGTAGGATTATTGCCGTTCATCTGTCGTCCCGTCCACTCGTTTGGTCGTACATTTCCTTGTTCCCTTCCAATGTTTGCTATGAACCATTTTGTCAAAGTAGTGTAGTAAAATTTCGGAAAACCTGATTAGAAATTAGGCGCTAAACACCTTTATAATAAGCAATAGTTCCCTTTGCAGTTCCCTGTGCCATCTTGAAAAGTAGCCGTGCCTTTGCATCGAAGCGAGACAAACCGTGAGCTTGCAATGATAGAGACATGTGAATAATTGTCCAAGGTGTTTAAAAAAGGTCTCTATCATTGCAAGCTAACCTTTCGTTCTTGCTTCGATGCAAAGGCACGGCTGCCTTTCAAATTGGCGCTGGGAACTGTGAAAGGGACTATTGCACAAGACTAGGGTAATCTCAAAAGGGGTACCAGAGGTACTTGCAACTTTACTATAGAAAGCAATCTCAATCAGAGCCCTAGAGTGTTTCTATCATGGGCCATTAGGATGCGCATGCCATATCACCAAAAACTTTATCGATCGCAAACAACCTCTGGATTGATATGATTAAATGTACGAACTCACAGCTCGAAGGAGAGACCAAACAAACTCTACTCACATATGATGTCCAGTCTTGGAATAAAACCTGAGACCCCAAAGGTTGAATCACTAGCACTGCACTTCCCTTAATTCCCAATACTCCCATTTCGAGTTCGCCTTTGCTCAGTCTTAGCCTCGATTGTGTACAAAATTAATGTGTTCTTTTTTTTTATAAACAATACGAGTTGATTAAAATGCCACGGGTTTTAGTTGAATAGCTGAATATTATAACGCACAAAAGACTGAGCAAAGAGAACTCGAAACTGGAGTATTGTTGAACCAAAAATAACTTTCCGCGTGTTATTTCCCCCCAGGTTTTTCGAGGATACCATGAAGGAAAGTTGAACTTCGCCCCTACCTACAAATACGACTTATTCTCAGACGATTACGACACAAGTGAAAAAATGCGCATCCCAGCCTGGACTGACCGCGTCCTGTGGCGAAGGAGGAAGCCTCGGTACAAGTCAGAAGCGCACGTCAAAAAACATATGATTAATCGAACCAATGAACAGACAGGAGACTTAATGACTAATGAGGGGGAGGAGGAGCTGGAAGAGGATGAAGATGAGGATGAAGAAGAGGAAAACAGAGGTACATTTTGGTCGTAATCTATCTACCATTTCAAAAGCGAGAAAAACAAGAAATATCTTTATGAAACGTGTTTTTTTCACTCGGTAAAGATCTATATGTTAAGTGTATGCTACATCGAGTGTATAAGAGGTCAGTGGTTCGAGTCCCACGAGAACCCAACTGAGGCAGATTTTTTAATCTGCTTTTACACTCGATGTAGCATACACTTAACATAAAGAAGTATCTTATTAGATTTACCAGTCGATGGTGGACGGAAAGCCAAATGTTTTGCAACCCGCTTGTCAAGGCTACAAATAGATCGAATTAGAATTTAGAAGTTAATTTTTGTGGTAGGAGTAAAAACCAGAGAACCCGTAGAAAAAACCCTCGAAGCATAGGAGAGAATCAATAAACAACTCTACTCACATACTACACAGGAGAGAACTAACAAACAACTCTACTCACATACTACACAGGAGAGAACCAACAAACAACTCTACTCACATACTACACAGGAGAGAACCAACAAACAACTCTACCCACGTACGAAACCGAGACTGGCGGGACTCGAACGAGCGCTTTCATCGCTACACCACCCGTGCTCCCCTAGGTAGTGCACTCACGTCTCACCTTTGGGGCGTTTTAAAAGTTCGATTCCTGGACTTGGTATAACAGTTATTCGGTATCCCTTGAATCAATGAATCAAGGGTGTTTCACCGGGTTCATTCTAAATTCCAACTAGCTATAGATCAGTGAATAGACCAGTTTCGAGTTCCAAGTTACCGCTGTGTTTCTTGATTACAGACTCATTTGCACAGGGTTAGCCTCGATTTTGTGCAGAATATTCACGTGTTCCAGTCAAGGTCCGTCAAGTTTCAAAGTGTTTGTATAGTTGAAATTGTGCATTCTTTTCTTTACCGTTGGTATTTATAAATATTTAGACACTGATGCGAGGCTAACCCTGCGTAAATGAGTCTGTAATCAAGGAACACAGCGGTAATTTGGAATTCGAAACTGGTCTATTATACAAACTTTTCCCCCTGACTTTGATCAGCCCAGATGCTGTTTCAGGAACTCGATAGCATTTGATAATTTTCTCTAGATGTCCAAACATCAGAAACGGATGGTCAAAGCTCTACAGACATTCATTTTCATCCTGGTAAAGTACTGTATTACGGGAAAGCTGAACTCAAGACTTCAGATCACAGGTATACCAGTAAGAGAAGAATGACTGTTGTATTCCTAGAAATTGATGAGACAAAACAAATATGTTTTAGAAAAGTATTTCATTCTATGCAGAGTTAGGCATCATTGTTGAATCCCCTTATCATAGGTCACGTGACAGCCATGTTAACTGGAACAATAGATTTTTGTAGAGGTTGTTTCAGGATTTGATCTGTGAGTTAGCCGTGCCCTGNATCAGCCCAGAGGTTGTTTCAGGGTTTGATCTGTGAGTTAGCCGTGCCCTGACTTAGATCAGCCCAGAGGTTGTTTCAGGGTTCAATCTGTGAGTTAGCAGTGCCCTGACTTAGATCATCCCAGAAAATTTGAAGTTTGATTGTTGTTTTTTTCGTTAAGGCCTGTGGTAGCATTGATCGAGGTCGAGATCCAGGAAGTAGATTTTAATAAACAGAGTAAGGTACACGAGAGTGTGATGATGTCCATGGGTCCCGCTGATCCTACTATTGTAGTAACATGTGATGATCAAGATGATGAAGAAGGCATTGATATAGAAGAACTGTTGGAACTGCTAGAATCCTTTGGGACTGCAGTACTTGTCAGGTAACAGTAGAATTTTTTGAATTCGAATTCTGTGTTCCTTGACCGCTACAGAATTGGAAACTTACTCAGTGTTATGTCCTCCAAAGGGAGCTGCATTCCGACGTGCTGCAAGGGGTCTATAGGCTCCATAAGCAGCCCCAGCTCGGCCGTTCTTTTTTTCCCTTCAATTACTATATTTGTTTTGATCTAACTTCAGAGTGGTAGATGATGAAATACTCGTGTCGTTTGATGATGGTAGAAGTGCTTTAAAAGCATTACATCTGGATGGCAAACAGGTCTGTACATGTCACATCTGGGCTCCTCCTTCGTGTACCAGACACAGTTTACGTAATTCAATAGAAACAACAAAAGAACCCTAGTTATACAATAAAACGAAGTTAACAAGGAATGCAATAGGTTAATGCAATCCGGTACACGAATGAGGACCCCACATCTTGTGTTTATCGATGGCACTGAATGTTGTGGTTTGGACTTTTATATATCACGGGCAATGAACCAATCAGAAGGGCTGTTTTTTATCCATTGTGGAAGAGCCTTAAATATTTCATGGTATAGACTCATATACAACGACCAATGAACCTATCAGAATGTCGGATTTTTCCGTGGCGAAGTTAAAATGTTCCGTGGTATATATAGACTCTTATATACAAAGGATAATGAATCAATAGGAAATGTGTTTTTTTTTTCATGGTGTATACTTTAATAGACCAGGATTAATGAACCAATTTGAAAAGAGCTTTTTGTATATATTCCATGGTATAGACTCTTAATAGATATAACAGGTAAAGAACCAATCATAATAGTTATCATTATTTTCATGGTATACATTTTCGTAGACCACGGTTAATATAGCAGTTAGAATAGAGCTTTCTGTAAATCAATTGCTGGTTTGTCATCATTCTCAAGAGAATGAAATAACAAAAGACACGGCGGGCATGTTGGATGATATAACAAGAGAACAAATGAAGAATCTTTTGTTAAACTCATCCAACATGGTGGCTGTGAAAACCACCAATACGTATTTCATAGCTTAGATTCTAATACACCAAGAAAATCTATGAACATTTTTTATCTTTTGCTGTTCATCAGATTGCAGGAAAAACAGCACTTATCCGCCTGAAGTCCGAGAGTCTTTTGTCCAACACCGATCTAACAATACATTCGTTAATAACAAGTGATTCGTCTCTCACTGGTGATTCCGCGGACACAGCTATTCTCCCTCAACCAAGAGGCCGAGCCCTCTCCGATCTGTTATCGAGTACTAGCGAAACCAGTACGAACCTTCCGATCCTTGAGCCGATTAAAATACAATCAGCCGAAGGAGATAGTTCGGAAAGTGAAGCCGAGGAAGATATTGATTATGATGAATACAATAGCGACGATGAAGATAATAATATTGATACGAGACCAGAGGCTGATAGAGATATTGAAGGTATGGTTTATTTCAGTATTACCTAATGATAGTGTTCACGATGCATTTTAGTTTGAAAGGTATAATACGCTTCCTTTCCCCTTATTAGCCATTCACTCCGGCCGAGGGTTGATAAAAAAACTGGAACGAGTTGGCAATGTGAGGCAGTTTTAGAGAACGAAATAGACGCCATCTTGGAAATATGTCTTCTAAAATAGCTCCACAATGACTGCAAGGCCAACTCGACCTAGTTTTTTTCATAACCTCGGAATGGTCAAATACGTCCTTACCAATGCTAGCAGAATCTTTTTTCCCGGAATTTTTCTTTTCATCTTGGCAGTTAGAATGACGTGTTGGTAAAATGCTTGCCTAAACCTCTGTGGTCCGGGTTCGAATCCCAGTCGCCCCATTTGAGCTGAGTTGATTGGTCCTCTTTCCGACTCCGAATGTTTTTCAGGCCTACTCTTAAATCAACCTTAACTAATTCAAACTGGAGAGATGCGGAGAGACGCGGTCCACATACTCTCATCTTTGCATCATAATTACCGCGACCTAACATCTATTTCACCCCGGCCTGCTCTCAGTCTGACCTCTAGCTCAGCTGGTAGAGCATCGGTRGTACAATTCCGAAGGTCGTGGGTTCGAATCCCAGCGAGGTGGGAAATTAATTTTTCCGAATTTAATTCCAAGGGCTTTCGCCCGGAATAACCTCGTTCCCAAGCACTACAACTTACCTATATTATCTTCTACTAATTCAAACTGGCTAGAACTGTGCTCTTGGGTTATTCATGGACAGAATATATAATCGTTTTTCAGCGACAAGCACATCTAAAAAGCAACTGAATTTGCTGGTAGTTGGAGCAATATGCGAAACTCCAGAACTTAAATAATCATTTGAAAAATAACCCCGCCACTCTATGCTTTAAAATTTTCTACGCGTTTGCTCCTTCGGCATCCCAATTCAAGATGGCCCCAGTACCGCGGTATCAGTAAAGGCCTATTGAATATTACCATAATTGGATTAGTGGTTGACATCTCTTTTTGTTCACAGATGATGAACCCAGACCTAGGTCCAAACCCCCACGTCCAGCCCAACCAAAGCGTCCTCCGCCACCCAGACCTGCGGCTAAACCCAAACCAACACAGCATCAAGTTTCAAGAATCATCGAGGAACCCGAGCGAGCTGTTTTACCAGAGGACGATTTTAAGGGCTCACAAGAAACATTTGAAGATTTTGATCCACTGGCAGCAAGAGATGCAGAGAAGGCATCAGAAAAACCACGAAGACCTCCCCCACCTAGACGACCTGCCCCGCCCAAGATCAAACCAAAGGTCACTGAGGTTACGCACACTACTGTAGATCGTAGCAAACCTGCTAAACAGGTTAGTTAAAATCGAATGTTTTATCATATCAAAGTAAAACTTACTAAACAAGTTAGTTGAACCTAAACTAAATTTACGGAACATTTACCAGTTGCTTAATTCTTACTTAAAGTGCTACTATGACGAAAATCGCTCAAACTTG